CCGAAAATTGAAAGGAAAATGAAAGAGGACATGTGGAACATCATTTTCCTGTGCAGCCTGAACACCTGTGAGAGTTGTGAGTATTTTTTAAATATTTGTGAAGTATGGGGATTTATCACTGCTGTCTATGGGAATTTATTTGTAGTGATGCACTCTATTCTGGCTAGGTTACTTCCATTGTTACTTGTGCAGAGAACAATAAAGCCATGCATTCATAGTGCCACAGCACTGTATGCTACATTGTCTTATCTATTCTATCTTATGGCTTCACAGAACAATAAAGTCATGTCCTCTTACAAGCAACTTTGCTCAGTAATACATTTTACTACAAGTAGTAATTTGTAGTATTATGTAGGGTTAGGGTTACAGATGTGTACACAGGTACGATGCATGTACATGTTTTTGTACCGATAGGGTCGGAATTGGCTGCAGCCAGCAAGGATTTAACCCTAAAACATTGTAAAAGAAACAGGTTATTTTATATTATCTCACAGCTGGGGGACAGATTTTGTCCCCCCCCCCAACTCTGATATCCATTTTTATAAAACCTGGTAAGTATTGGGTACTGTATACATGTACCACTCCTTATTTAATTTTCAGCGGAGATACATGTATCTCCAAAATAAGTGGCAAAGTGAACATCACACATGGAATTTTTAAGCACTACATGTGACAGCATTTTCGGCATTTTCGAACATCATGCGTGTTTTGTCAAAGTTTTGAATGTCATCAAAATTCAGTCAAATATGACGTTCGCAACCAACATACATGTATTGTACCGGTACATTTTTAAAGCAGTCAAACTTGAAGATAATTTTCAGTGATTTAGAGGTATAAGACTTGGCAAATATGTTGGTATAGTGAGAGTGATTATAAACGGTAAGAGAATGAAGAAAGCTAAACTTTTCTCATCATTTCCCGTCAATTTTGTGCTCTTTTTTTCATGGCTTATATTTTTTAAAAGTTATTTCTTAGATGCTTTAAATTACATATACCGAAAAATATACCAAATTCTCCTCCTTGTTGAGAGAAGTTTTTTAAATCAAGTCCTCCTTAGGTTGGTACATGTAGGTTTGGGTTGGGTCTGAGTTGGCATAAGTCCGAGTTGGCTTGTGTCTGAGACTCTGAATTCGCATGGGTTCGAGTTGGTATTGGGTCGAGTTGACCTGATCCCTTTTTTAAGCAGGGCAAAGTACATACATGTACATGTGCATTCACATTGTTGCTTCGGATTATACCCAGAGTTTGCAAATATTTGTCCTTAGGCTACCATGGTGACTTACAGTTCTTGAACCAAGTCAGGATGTGTTTGAAGCCAAGTTAAAAACAAACCAAAAATAATAAAACAGGTAAACAAAAACCATGTGGAAGATTCAGGTTTTTGAAAGATACGGTGCATGAATGTATTGTTGGGAGGATGAGTCTTTTTTCAAGATGGCCACCATTTCCATACATTGTAGACTTGTGTGCAGTTTTCAGCCATGGCCACATGTGGACATTTGAAGACATGTTTGAACGGGAGATCACATGGTCACCAACAGAGTCTACTGTTTACAGAAGTTTTTCATTTTCTGATTGATCATGTGACCTCTTGCAGTTTTTACCAACTTTTTATTAAAAATAATAAAATTGAGGTGGCCCCTAAAAGGAAGCGGGTGGGGACGCTAAACATTTTTTTTACAAAGCCTAACACAAAAAGGATGTGTGAAACAATTGCAGAAATCTTGTTCAACATGTGGTTTATCTTTGACACTAGAGGTACATGTACAGTGTACTGTACTTGTATTCAGTCTGTGTGATTGATGCAAATTGACTTTATCCTCACTTTGTCATCTGTAGACGAAAACCAGAATGCCCAGTTACAGTACCCTGTGGTCTTGTGGTTGTGGTGAGAATACATGCACACTGTACATGTATGGACAGAAAATCACTCTGCCAGAAAAAAATGAGAAGATTTAAAAGTTTACTTTCTCCTGAAAAAATGTTATGGAAGTTAACATGCAAATTTAGACCTCAGATATTTGTCTTAGAAGACCTACAGGTGTACCTTACCTTGTACACTGGCAACAAAAGTTGCATATTGTGTCCTGGTATTGGGGGTTGATGAACTACATGGACACCAGGGATTTAGATACAGTATATGTACATTTCTAATACATTTCTTCAAGCCATGAGTACAATACCCACATCCTTTCTTAGAGTAGAGTACAGTACTCTTTTTCCCTCAGTGTTTTTTAGTATTGTATTCCTCTTCATGAGAGGGAGAACACTGTAGTCCGTAACACATGTACAGTGGTGGTGGAGAAACTGAGTACCGGTATTATGCTGGTACTCAGTCCTTTTACATGTACCTTAGTAAATATAATAATACATGTACCGGTACTTGTTATTTCTCTTGAAAAAATATAGTAAAAAAAAAGGCTTAGAGATAATCATGAACTCATGATACCATAGACAAAATACTGTACATGCACAGAGTCTGTATCCGCCCATGGATGTACATGTATGTATGTACAGTGGCAGGTGTAAGGCTACAGCGGGTGGATGCCATTTTATTATTCACACTTTTTTATACAGTGCCTTGTTCCTCAAGGCTCTAAGGTGCTTTACAATCAATTAAAATGCCAAATCATGCATGTTGACGGGCTGCTGTAAGCACATGCTCAACTCAAACTCTATCCCTGTGTGCAAATAGTGTGGTCGCCGTGGGCTGGAAATCAATTTTGCTGCATGTGTCTTCAGGGAGTCTGGTGACCACGTTTTTGTACACAAAAACGATCCATGCGTACAGTGCGTGCACAGAAGCCCATTTCGGTTTACTACTGCATTCCTGAACATGACACCTTTGTTTTGCTTTGAGTCTTTCTCGTCGATTCAGAATTTTTCTGAATAACTTATCATGGTTTTGCACAGACCAGCGTGAAAAGCTGTTCGTAGACAAACATGAAAAAATCAGGTTTCAGTAGAGTCGGCTACGAATGTTAACATGAAAAATGTAGAAACTTATGGTACTCTTTCTACTTTCTGTGTATTTTACGTTCTGCACAAAATTTTATGCTGCGTATTTTGACTAAATTTCCAAGTCAGGAAGCGTACATGTTACGCACGTTTTCTAAACCCCTGCTTCACATACATGTACATGGACTAGCACATGTGGTTCCTGCTACACATGTACATGGACTAGCACATGTGGTTCCTGCTTTCAGTAACTGCATGTAGTTAGTTAACACCCTATACCGTACATGTACCTCAGGGATCATTCATTCAAAAAAATGTTTTAAATACTGTTCCCGTACATACAGGTACATGTACATTGTACACGTACATGTACACATGTGTTACGTATGTAGTCCTGTATATAAAGTAAAACTGGGTGCTAATGGCATGAAAACAAAGTTGGAATTTTAAAATTTGATTCCATTTAGAACAGTTTGTCAACCGATATAACATGTACTTTTCCCCCTTGCAGGCTGCCCGTGATGGAGCAACTGAACTTATGAGTCGCTATCTGGAGCAGATAGGCTCCAACAAACGACGGCGCGTCAACAAACTAGACGAGAACAACCTGAGTGCACTTCATTATGCAGCTCGCTACAACCATGAAGAGATTGTTAAGCTGCTCATTAAGCACCATGCAGGTAAAGGCATAATCATCTTTAATCCATGAATAGCCTGATCCTCAAACATTAATGTCTTGTTTTGACCTTGTTTAGAAGAGCCCAGTACTGTTGGGATTGTAAAGACAAACTGAGGTTCTGTGGTGTTTAGTTTTAGAGGACATTCATGGGAAACTTCACTGATACTCTCAGCATGAGTGTCTTGTCAGTGATGACAGAGGTGATTATAAATTAACAACAGACTTGAAGGTAAGGTACATGTATGTTGAGAATGCCCATCAGCCGAAGTCTACATATACATATGTAGGCCTACACAAGGACGACTTCCCCCATCATCAATGGTGACTTGCATAAAGTGGCTCTTAGAATGCACAGCACTGTACATGTACACATGGTAAATGTCATGCATGTACAGTACATTGTTCCAATACACCGGCAGGAGTGATGTAGTACCACTATAACCATTGTTAAGGGAGTTAACTCGGTTAACTCAAGTTTACACATTTTATCATGTTCATTGTGTGACAAGATTTACATCACGTGACTCTTTGGCACTCACTGAGTGTTCACCATCTTCTTAGTGTAGTACATGTAGCTGGTATAATATCACCAGTGTCAACCCATGAGCCATATCCAGACCTTTCTGAGGATAAACATTGGGGGCTCCTGGTTTTTGAAATGGCTTGTGTTGCCCTTGCATAGAGTTCCCAACAAGAAATCCCTACTGTTACATGTACATGTAGGCCATTTAGGAAAACTAGAAGTTCAAGTGCACTGTCCTCTTGTCATGTTTGCCGCTCTCCCATTGGTTGTTTTCCATGAAGCTCTCTGGGACAAATTCTTTGTCCAGGCAACAGACAGAGCATGTACTGTCAAACAAGTTGGGTCCACCAGTTCTTTCCAGAAAATCACTCACTCACAAAAAGAGTTACATGGTGCCACCTCAGATCCTTTTTTTCATCAAAGGGTATGCTATCTATAAAAAGTCAGATATTGATTTCATTTGATTCACCTCCATCCTAGATCCCCAGTGTAAGGGTGAAGATAACACCACGCCCATGCACCATGCTGCACGTTGCAAACGTTCCTCTACCAAGGCATCACCGACCGGCTCTGGAGATGACGATGACGATGACAATGATGATATGTCAGGAGGTGTCATCTCCTATCTGGAGGCTGAAGGAGCAGACGTCAATGCGCAAGACATCTACGGACAGACACCGCTGCATTTTGCTGCCATGAGAGGAAATGACATCGCCACCAAGGAACTGCTCAGCTCCGAGAAAATCAAGTTTGAAGTGAGTTTCTCCAATCCACAGCTGTATTCAGTGGGCTCATTGCAGTGTTGTGTGTAATTTAAGGCTATCAGAAGACCAGACACAAGACCATTGACAGGTCCAGTTAAAAGTAACAGTGTGAAAAACTAGAGAGAGATTTTTGTGACTGGGACCAGTTGCCTGGCCACCTTATGACAAAGGAATGTTTTATTACTGTTCATTTGAATAGCTGGTAACATGAATGACCAAATCTGTGTATTTTGATGTTCTTAAGAGGTCTCAATTACGAGTGTTGTTTCACATAAATCAAGCTTGATCAGTGATCTGATATTAGTTTACTGACACCAGAACCCACCTACAGTGTCATGGATAGAGGGAACTAGCCATGGGATCACTGGTTGAGATCCACATCTGTGTGATTCAAACAGTCCCCAGAACTTCATACTTGATAAGACAAGTCAAGTGAACAGTGGCAGAAGAAATCATCTGTCTCCTGATTGGTGGATTGTTGATAATGTGCTGTTGAATTATTCATTCCAACGCTTGGCAATCACATGGTGGTGCCGTAAAAACAAGTTCCACTGAAATGGTACAAAATTGAAGTTTCATTGTTCAGTCACAAAAAATTTCAGAACTTGCATCCTGGATTTATTCAGGCATTGAATTTGACCCCACAAATAATGCTTATGAGTGCAAAGGAAAGACGAATTCATCAGTTTACAGATGAAATGTTCCTTTCCATTTCTCTTTGTCCAGTGGCACATGTACATGTAAGTGCCACCCTCTTAATTACATTCTTTCGGTTGCACTCATAAATATGCATTTTTATACGTACAGTGTTTCTAAATGAATACTTGTACATGTACCATATCACATGCACGATTGCAAGCATTTTCATGATGTGATTATGAAAACCATGGTTAGTCATCACACCTTAGTACTGTACGTGTACATGATGCTTAAAGAAGTTGCCTTTTTCCTCCCTCTCCGAAATCTGCCTCCCTGCTTGTTAGGCTACTGACAAACAGTTAATGACCCCTTTGCACATGGCCTGCACCCACGGCCACCTGGTGATTACCAAGATGCTGATTCAGCAAGGTGCCATGCTGCGGTGCCTGGACGAGGAGGGCAACACCCCACTGCTGAAGGCCTGCATGGAGGGCCACGTGGACATTGTCCAGTTGCTGTTTGAGGCCGGTGAGGAGAAAAATATCCTGGAACAGGTACATCAGTAGCCCACATTCTGGCCGTTATTTATCATTTCTCATACGAGTAAAGTGTGTAGCCCAACTCAAGACACCAAAATACATAATATCCAGAACAATTGCTCCTGTGAATGCATTCCTCTACGCACTTGGATATCATGCATGCACAGTAGCAGTGCATGGAATGCTCTTGTACATGCACACACAATATGCACATAGAGCATTACGCATGTTTAGACCCATCAGCACAGACCCAGCAGCTTGCTGATGAAGCAAAGGATGCCCAAGATTTGTTAGGAGTGGGAAGTTGAGCAAATGGACTTGGTGTCTGAATGCCCTCTATCTGTGCATGTGTCTCTGGTAGTACGGTGTTGTAGCATACAGAAACAGTCCAGGTGGTGGACTGGTGAATGTTGGAACATACGGGTTCATGTACTTCAATAAGAATGGCTGCAAAGAACGGTTTCTTTGGGGTGAGATTGAGATGAGGCAGAGATTGACGTTCTAGTTTGCATCTGGATTCAAAGAGGTTTCACTGTACTTTGAAGGAGTTTTTTCTGAGACTACTTTTTCATTTTCAAAAATTGGCTCAAATGATAAATACATGTAGCTCAAATTTAGTATGTCAGAGGTCACAGAATAGGATATTATTTAAGTCAAATCTCCTTTGTTCAACTCACAATTGCCATCCTTTTTAAATCACAGAAATGTACTTATAGCATGTTAATAATCATAATTACATGTACATGTACTGTGGTAATCTTTTCATTTACTTCAGTGAAACATTTCTTCTTTCCCCTGTTTAGATGTTAACTGATGCTGACTATGACCAAAATACACCGTTGCACGTAGCAGTTGAAAGTGGCAAACAACAGATTGTTCAGATGTGTCTTGAAAAAGGTAATTTGGGATGGAAAGTATGAAATATTCACTTTCTTCAGGTTCGTTGTTGATAGGATTTGATCTATCTACATGTAATACAGCAAACACTTCTTGTACATGTAGATAGATTTCTTCTCTGTGTATTTTTATAATATGTATCAAAATTTCAAATGCTGCTAACATTAGTCTCCTTTTGATATCGCTCACACTTATACAAACTCTTGCTAAAGTGTAAGTAAAATTTAAGGACCTGATTTGGTTTTTGTCATGTGCATATACGTGAATGCAGGTGCCAACATGAACATATTTGACAAGCAACGCAACACGCCCCTTCACATCGCTGCAGCAGCTGGCCATTTGGACATTGTCAAGATGCTGTTGAGTAAGACAGCTAACGTGGACTCACTCAATGCTGACCGGGCAACCCCTCTACATCGTGCCTGTGCATTCAATCGCGAGGAGGTTGTGGAGTACCTGCTAAAGAGGTGAGACCGGCAGATCATGTCACTTAACTCTTGCAGGCTATTAAAAAGGTTCCATGCTATGGTTGTTTTATAGATGCACCTTCTGTGCAACAATCATTGTGTGAAACCTACTGTATTTGATGCCTTAATGTGGTTAAGGGCATTAGAAAGGGTACTTTCTATTTATAAATTGCACATGCTTTTTCTGACAACTAAGGGCACTGTTGCTGGGATGTCATTTAATAGGGAGAGCTCTGCTCAGTTACATTGTAGTTGGATTTTTTTTCAGAAGGGGAACTAACATTTGTTCATTGAAAACATTCCTAATGAAGGTTTGCTCATTTGTTTACTGCCATGTTCTTACCCATCAACGAATCTCCAAACAAAACTAAATTGATGCGAGCAAAATGCCAGGAATTCCAACAGATTTTGTTACAAATCGATGCAACATGTACGTGTACATGTAGGTTTTCTCCCTGGAATGACATCACAGTTTTGCTTATGAACATGAACATTTGTATAAAAACCAAGGTGGCACAAACTAGGCCTACATGTACCTTTTAAAATATCCAAACAGTCTCTGAAAAATAAAGTGGACAAAACACAGTAACGATTTCAAGGGTTGTTGTAAAAAAATGGATTGGCAAAGACCCTTTAAATATGGCATGTACGTGTACATGTAGCTTTCCTGATCATGGTGCACTCATATACATGTACATGTACCCTGAGTCATTTACTTCATGTGACTCAACCTGACAAAAGGAGTCCCAAGTCACCAGAGCCAATTTTGAATCATAGACCTTGTGAATAATCTTGCACAATGTAAATCAATAGGATTCCTGCTCATTTTTTCACCCACATGATGCGCCTTTACCTCGTGATGCCAAACCAAGTAATACATCAAACAGAATGAATCACCAGTGTTGATTCAAGTCGCTGACTTGGACCTCAGCCTGACTTGAGTTACTTTTTCATCTTTAAATTATACTAGTTTGACATAGGAGTGAAATTATTAAGACTGAACTTGAACAAATTTGACTAGTTGGCATTACCAACTTGTAAAGACGAGGAAAGATATCGGTATACTTTTGCAACCCAAAACTCTTTCAATGGGCAAATGCAAGCCAATTTTTAAATACACTCTTATTGTGTGTTATATCCCAGGAAATGTCTGTTTATGGCAAGAGATCATGATTCAGTTCCTTGAAAGTTATTTTTTTGCCACAGTTTTCAAGTTATACACGAAATATCATATACTGTTGATAAACATGTAATGGTGCTGTTGATAGCTTGACAACTAGCCTTTCTTTGGAACCAATTTAGTGGTGCAAGGATTGAGCGAAGAGACAAGGACAACTTTACCCCGCTGCTGATTGCTGCCAGCAATGGACACAGTGCAACCATTTCTGTGCTCCTTAAGTACGGTGCAAACATTCGTGCTGTGGACAAACATGAAAAGAGCTCCATCTACTGGGCTGCCCAAGAAAATGAAGTCCAAGCGTTGAAGGTAAAGAAAAAACAAAGTAATGACAACCAACGCACTGTTGTTGCTTTACTGCAGTCAAAATGACATGCAATGGACGCTGTTAATGACATGAGAATAGCGAAGGCACTGGACTGCTTTACTGCACTAAGAGTGACACATGACCTATGACTTAATCACAGTTAGAATGACAAATTAATTGTGGCTGCTTCATTGCAGTAAGAATGATACCTTCAATGTCGTTGCCTCTACAACATGTATCATTAAAATAAGTAAACATCGGTGTTTAGTCCCTTGCTCGGAAAGAAAATTAGACTCAAATTTGAGGGAGTTCAAGCACTGAAAAAGGTTCAAAATCAGGATTTGATGAACATCGGTATCAACTGTCTTTTGGGAATTAATCTCTGCAGTGTGAAGTTTGGTTCATACAGTACTTGGCCCCAAAGTAAATGTGATGATGAAAGTGTGACCTCAGATCTCATACTCGCACTGTGAATGTGCAAGAGTTGAACACACTTCAAGTTAAGCAAACTTCGCTTCAAATGTTTTGCTGCATCAGATTGACTTCCCTGTCAGGCTTGCCTGACGTGTGAACTGGCCTTACTGAGCTCAGTATGATTTTGATCATGCATGTTTGATATTAATGTTGGTCACGTTTGATCACACCAGTCAGAAAGTAGTTATCAAGTCAGCTTGAAGGCTAAACTTCTTTAATTACTGTTGTCATGTTAGGTTTTGTTGGACCACCGCAAGCACAAAGCGAAGAAGTTGTTGATGGCGAGTGATCGCTACAACAACACACCACTGCATGTAGCTGCTGAGAATGGCTTCATCAACGTCATCAAGGTACAGTTGATGCAGGAGAAAAAACTTAGACAACTACAGTGCTTTATTCAACCCAATTTGAAATTGATCCAGTACCAACTGGAAGACATACTGGGATTAAAGGTTAAGTGTGAATGTTTCACAGAACAATTCTGATGGCCCCTTGGAGTGGTGGAGAGCATTGTACTGGCTTTTGTACGGAGTGACTGTCATGGAACTGTGGCACCATGCAATAGTTATCACAATACATACATGTACATGTGCCCCCATGGGAGGGGGCTGCTGCTAGTAACAAGTGAAAGTGTTACCATGGTCGCCAGATTCATCCACAGTTTGACCACTGGCTCCATTGCTTCTTATCACTGTTGACATGCAGAGCAGTGACACTGGAGTGACCCTTATTGAAACGGTTTGAGGAATTTCATTGTCAATAACATGTTGCCAGCTCTCATGGCATGCATGGCCAGTGACATCACATACAATCACTTTCTTGTCAAGCTTCACTCTGCATTGTTGCTATAGAGGCTATTTGTAACCATTACAACCAGTGATGTGGCTGTGCCCTAGGACCTACTTCCAGATGGTCAACTACATGTAGATAGTCCAACTGTTTAGTTACAGTGATCATTACGGTTATTGCACGAATTTGACCACAACCACAGAATGGAATATTAAAATGCAATGTAATAACCGTTCATTCTTCAGATCTTACTGGATCATGGAGCTAATCTGGAAGCTAAGAATGAAGAAGAGCAGACTGCATTGCATCTGGCTGCCCAGCATGGACGAGTCCAGTAAGTCCCTACAAAGGTTCCTGTGTTGTTCTCCAGGTGATATGGAGTGGGCAA